CATCAATCCACTCCCTCATATCCTTCAACACAAGCTCAGCATTTTCATCAGGCTCTCCTTGAATCAAAGAATGGTACATCCCATCATACATTTTGATGCTCTTGTCCGCACTGGATGCCTTCTCATACAACAACTGGGAAGACGTAGGGCACGTGACCCCATCCGCCGTCCCATGCACTGTCAAAAACGGCACCGTAACTCTGGAGAAATTATCCTGTACGTACTGGCACATCCTAGCAATCTCCCTCATGGTCCCCACCCTCGGCTTTCCCGTGTACCTCCGTGGATTTGATGCTATGATCTTCAGCTTTTCTGGGTCCTTGATCGCTTTGCCCACCATTTTGTTATCAGGCATGGCAGCCCACGTGTCGGCTAATCCGAAGAGGAGACCGTACATGAAGAGATGGACTTTACTGGGTTTCATATTCTCTGGGATGACAAAAAGTGGGGCCGAGAACATCAGGCCCGTCCACGTGTTGGGCTCTGATTGAAAGTACATTAGCATTGTTGCTAATCCGCCCATGGACTCACCAAATAAGAAGGCGGGTAAGTCTTTGTATGGCTCGCTGTAGCGCACATGCTTGAAGAATGATAAGGACGAGGCAGCTACCTTCTCCATTTCACCTACATTGGCAACATTGCATATACAATGTAATATATTTTCCAGTTTTACAGTCTATGAATCTAAAATGTATAACAAATAACAAAATTCCATTTTTTTTTGTAAAAATAAATCCGGCAAAATATAATCAAACAGGGGTGAGCATGGGTACAAGGTAGAACCGAAACCGAAACTGACCCCATTAGGGTTTGGTTTCGAAGCTGAAAAATTGGAATCGCAAATTCCTAAGTCCAGTTCTGGTTCCTATAGTGTTGGAAGTTGGAACCGGAACCGGAATCGAGGTTAGGGTACCTATATAGGAACCGAGACTGAATTTAGCTTTTGTAAACTGTTGGGGGTGTATAATTTTTTGGGGTGTATTTGTTAATTTTTTTAAAAATAGGGGCTAATTAAAATTAACCTGGGTACAAGGTAGAAGGTATAATCAAACAGGGGTGAGCATGGGTACAAGGTAGAACCGAAACCGAAACTGACCCCATTAGGGTTTGGTTTCGGTTCTGAAAAATTGGAATCGCAAATTCCTAGGTCCAGTTCTGGTTCCTATAGTGTTGGAAGTTGGAACCGGAACCGGAATCGAGGTTAGGGTATCTACGTAGGAACCGAGACTGAATTTAGCTTTTGTAAATTGTTGGGGGTGTATAGTAATTTTTTAGGGTGTATTTGTCAATTTTTTTAAAAATAGGGGCTAATTGAAATTAACCTGGGTACCCAGAACCGAAACTGAAACCTATGTTTTAGGTTCCGATTTTAGGTTTTTAGGAATCGAAACCGGCCAGTTTCGATTCCGATTCCGATTCCAAATGTCAGGAACCGACCGATTCTAGTTCCTTAAAAAAATGTAGGGTACCAGGAACCGCTCATCCTAATCAAACCAATGGTGTCATGATTATTATTATTTAATATTATTTAGCAAATATAACATTTAATTAGATAATTAAACCACCTTATAAAGGAATTAATTATACCATTAAAAATAATCACACGCTACATTGATCCCAATTAATTAAAATTTATCAAAATCTAATTAAAGCTTCATATTTTCCTCTAATATTATTCACATTTTAATATTTTATCTTAGGAAACATGGAAAGAAACTACGTAAAGTTGATCACCTACCTAAGTAGCAACGTATACCGTCCGATCGACCGTGGCCGAGAAGATCAGCGGCGAAAACAGCGTAACCCCACGTCGCAAAGTTGATGCAAATCTTCTGAAACATCCAACCAGTGTCAGATCCATAGCCGTGACTCATGTAAACCGTGGCTTTGACTTTCTGATCCAACGGTAAGAAACTCTGCGTGAAGAGCTTCCCATTGGGAGTTTCAAAGTACTCCTTCGAGTTTCGTACTCCCTCAGAGGTATAGTACTCTTCTTCCGGCATGTAGCCCCAGAAATTCGGTGGCGTTTCGGGCTTCGTTTCTGGTTGCGTTTCTGGCATCGTTTTCGCAGGCTCTAATCTTGAAAGAAAGCAGCCGGATTTTGTGAGGGAGTTGTCAGGAGAGTAACGGTGGAAAGTACAGGGGAAGAGTATATAGGAAAAGAAGTGAACTATGGGGGAAGCGTTTCGAAACGCGTTTCTAGGGGGGGAAGAGAGATTGAGTGTGTTGATTCACCAACCACCGATTATTGGGTGAGGGTGGTGGTTTATGTGGAGGTTTGGGGTGGGTGAGTGAGGGGGTTGGTGGACTGAAAGTGATCGTGGGCCATGGCTAATGAACTAAGTGGTTTGATTGGGCCCACCACTATGGGTTAGGTTATGAAATGGTTTAATCATATTTCATCATTGGCTGATTTGGTGGTGATTCCATGGATCCTGAGTACCATATGAGCTTTTGCTGAATGGGGGTGTGCAATCTTTTAAGGGTAGAACCAAATCTGATGGGTACTGAGGCGTCGGTTTCAGTTTCAAATTTGGTAGAACCAGCATTATGCCAATCTAAGTCCGGTTCCACCATTTTAGGAATCGGATATGGACTCAGAATTGGACATGGACCTGAGGTCGGCTATGCAGAGTGTATTTGTAATTTCTGCAAACAGTTAGGGTATATTTGTAATTTTTATAAGATATATTTGTCATTTTTTCTAACAAAAGGGGTGTATTGTTATTTTGGGTGATCAGAGTCGTCTTAGAATTGATTGAATTGTTTTCAGTTAGAGGAAGTTAAGGATGAAATTGAGTCATCTTATTATAATTTTTATTCATTATACAGTAATTTAAATTAGAAACTATAAGCTCTGGCATGAAAATTAAAAATAAAATGTTTTGTTTGACTTAAATTAAAGGATTTAAAAGGTATAGGCATGTGAACGAAAATGTAATGTAAGGTTTTTCTGATGGGTTCCACCTAGCCACTTTCACCAACCGGCTTATGGACCAGAGCCCATAAAGCGGATAGGCCTTAGGTCCACTAATACATTTTTCTATTTTCATTTTTAATTAAAAAAATGAAAATATTCAATATTTAAGTCTAACAATTGAGTAAATGCAATATTGATGACCAAGTTTGTCCATAAATACGGTGATGTTCTATTTTTATGTCTCTCTATGTGCTACAATAGGCAAGTAATTAATTGTGATATTCAACCCCTTAATCGGACCAATAAGTCACATTAGTCAACCTGGAGATAATATTACCTAATATTACTTCGGTTGCTAATAGAGGTGGTTACTGGAGGTTTATTCAACTGTTAACTTCAAGTCCCGAAGATTAGTTTAAGTGCAAACAAACTGGCCTGATCACAAAACAAAAAATAAAAATAAAAAAATTAATGTATCAGAATAATTAATTATGACATATTTTCTCCTTTCATCTCTTGTAACTATATTTAAGGTTTGAGATTAACTGCTTTAAATATCATTTACTAAACAAACATCACTTTTTAACTACCCTTGGATGATCGAGTGGTTGAATAGGGACTCTTGAAGTATTACTCAAGAGGTCATAAGTTCGATTAACCTCAGTTGCTAATAGGGGTGACAATTGAAGGTTTACCCGACTTTTTATTTCAGGGTGTCGAGATTAGTTGAGGTACGCGCAAGTTAGTCTAAACATCCTGAAAAAAAAAAAAAAAAAAAATTGTTGTACTAAAAAGTTCAGTCATTTCTCACTGGTTTTTGATTCGTTCAATCCCAATTTTTTAGTCTTTTAAGAGGGTATAAAAGTAAAAAGAATTAAGAATTCTTGCTTTGGTTAGATGCAAGAAATCCAGTCACTTAGTTAACTAGGAACTCTCATAAATGTTGGCAAACTTTTACATCAAATTGCATGTTAAGTTAAAAAAAAAAAAAAAATAGAAATACTACCAAACTGCAAAACAGAGAGTCTTGTGAGATACATTAAACACGAGCACCCGCAAAAAAAAAAAAAAAAAAAAAAATCATACTCAGAAAGACTAATTAGTTCCACCAAACCTCTCTCCATTAAGAAAACTTTAACTTCCATTTTCAGATCCAACTGGAAATCTCTGAAGCTTTCGAACTTCTTTATTCTAATTTCCTCAAATCTATGACGCCAGTTGATAATGTCTACAGCTTTCAGACATTTTAACACTAGATATCAGTTGTTGTGGAAATGCAGGAGAGATGAGTGTGCGATGCAAGTTCAACACTTTGAGATTTTTTCAAGACATTTAACTCCCTTGGCATGTTTTATGGTCGTGCGTGAAACGTTGAGATATTGTAGAGAGACCAGTTTTGATATTTCTGAAGGGTAATCTCCATAAATGGATTTCAGGACAGGCTTAAAACTCTAAGAGAGGGCATAAGATCGGAAGAAGCATAGATTGGTAATTCAGTTTGCATCAAGAGAGTCTTTTGATCCCTCCCCATTTTTCAATATTGGTCCTTCAAATAATCCTGCTCTTGCATGAACCAGAAAACACTCTTTTCCTTACCAATTTCGCATGCTATCCACATGGCCATATCAGGAACCACAACATCATGCATTTTCACACAAATTTTTGCTTTCTTTCAATAAATGCATGAAGAAGAATACCAATAATGTAGTATCTTTGGATTGATGCTAAAAGTTATTGCCGCCATGTACACATCCACAAAAGAAAATAGGAAGCAAATAATTAACAACACTCATGAAAAGAATTCTTGTCTGACAGAATCTGCCTTTCACACAAAGCCAGGAAATTTACAAATAAGAAATCTGAAAATCAATAACTGGGTCAAGGAAGTCCACCTTGCTCGGTAGTTGAGTATGGTGAGCGACGTTGACACAAACCATCCGTTTTGAGCTCGCCATGAGTTCCACAAGTCATCATACTGAGCAACCTACTATTGTGATCTCAAAGAACAGAAAAAAAAAATACAAAATCAAGGAAAGAAATAATAAAATTCAAATAGAAAACACAAGAAAAGTGAGATAAATTAAACAGAAGAGGACACAAAAAACTGCTTCAGCAAACTTAGGTTCAGATTTTTAATGGCTTTGTCCTCCAGCTGCAGCAATTTGCCGTCCCTGTCCCTCTCTCCATTAACAAAAATTTTACAATCCCTCATGCTTTCGGATATAAATGCAAGCTTCTTAAGCTTTGGGCAATTACTTATTCTAGCTTCCTTCAAATCTTGGAAGAACAAGGTCTTCTGACAAATAATTCTCAAATTTCTGAGATCTTCTAAAGTAAGATATTGTAATTTTGCAAATGGGTTTAGATTTCTGGACACCAGACCTTCAACTGCAGACAATTTTGCAACACTGATTGTTTCTTCAACCTCCTGGCAGCTTGATATGTGAATGATCTCGAGTTTTGGAGCAAAAATAAGCCACGTCAAATCCCTGAATTTAAAACAAGACTCTATATGAATCATACGAAGGTGGTGAAAGCCATGATTCTGACGGATAACTTGTGCTTGCTCAGCATTGTTAATGGCCAACTCTTCCAAATGAGCACAGCTGTAAATATTAAGAGCACCCAGATGCTTCATTTCTGCTAAAGATAAAACATTAAGTGCTTCTGAATTGTCAAAGTCTTCGAGGCTGAGAGATTGAGTGCAACATTGTAGCTTCTCAGAGTCCAAAAATCTTCGGAGAGCACAAAAACTTTTCAGGGTAATACTCAGGACATTTAAATTTTCCAGGTAGCGCAATTCCTCCACCAAAAATTCGGCAGTTTGACTCAAGTAACCACAAGAGAACATCCTCAATACATGTAACCTCGGAAAATTTGATATCAGATTCTGTGGAATTCTATTCAGAAAAAGTGTGTACTCCAAGTTCAAACATTTAAGATTTTTCAAGGCCTTCAATTCTATCGGCAATAATTTTATGTCTGTCCCTGATACATCAAGACACTGAAGTGAAACTAATGCTGAAATTCCTGTTGGTAGTGACCACAAATAGCAGTTATGAGATAGGTTTAAAACTCGAAGTGAAGGCATAAATTCGAAAAAATCATTTCTGATGCTGCCTAACTTATTTCTGTTGAGAAATAAAGTTTGGAGTTGAGGGCATCTAGGAGCATTAGATAGATGCGAAATTTTATTTTCCATCAATGATAACCTTTTTATCCCTTCCCATTCAATAATGGTTTTTGCTTCAGTTAACCCCTCACCTGCATGAACCAAGAAGTTCTCCTTCTCCTTCTCGATGTCACATGCTATCCATAAAGCCATATCACGAATCACATCATGCATTTTTACATAATCATCGTCTTTTTTTTCTAATAAGCATGCATCAAGAAGAACACCAATGATGTAGTACCCTTTGTTTTGTGCTGCCCAATTATCATATTCATCCAAAAATCCTTCACCAATCCAATAATCTATCAAGTCCCTTTTGAAAATGTTATAATCTTCAGGAAATAAAGCACAATACAAGAGACAGGATCTTAGTGTATCATTCGACAAACTATCATAACTGAACTTTAGAAGAGGATATACTTCTTTTCCCATCCTGGCAAATTCAGAGGCAGATCGTCTTAAAACTTGAATAGCGTAGCTCCATTCTTCAGGTGTTTTCTTGTTAGCCATAGCTCGACCAATGGTAATTAATGCAAGCGGCAGACCAGCACATTCATTGACCACAGTTTCGGCTAGCTCAAGAATATCAGGATGACTGTCGAGAGTTTCTTTTCCGACCTTTGATTGAAACAACTTCCAAGAATCTTCATATGTCAAACATGTAACTTTAAAATTTCTGTGAGCATCCATGAAGCCACAAACATCAAATATACGAGTTGTAAAAACTATCTTGGATGCCATTTTTGGGTTTGGAGTAGGAACACCTACTTTATTCAAATCAACTCGTTCCCATATATCATCCAATAGTAATACAAACTTCTTCTTGCTCATAATCTTGAATATCTTAGAGGCTTTTTCTTCAAAACTTTCACTTCTTAAATAGTCTTCGGAAAGACCTATTCTTTTACCGATCTTTTCCTGAATCCTCTCAATTCTTAAGTCTTTAGACGCCACTACCCATATCACAACATCAAAATCATTCTCTGTGTTCAGAAACTTATTGTTGATCTGGGTTAGTAGAGTAGTTTTACCGACCCCACCCATACCATATAGGCCAATAATTCCGACGCTTTCTTCTCCAAGACATCTCCAAACCTTATCAAATGTTGATTCTAGACCCACTATTGCCTGTTCAATAGGTCTTTCATCAACAGGATCTTCTGGTAATCTCTCAGCTACCTCGTTGAAATCTCCTTCAACCTTTAAAGTGGCTGCAACCTTCAGCATTTTAATCACTTTTTCTCCATACTCATATCTTGACTTACAGTTCTTGGAACAGTATCCTCCAATGCACGAATATTTATCAACTTCTTGATATTTAAGTTGTAGCAGTTCCCCAACTTCAATTTCCACAACTTGTACCCTTGAAAGCCAGCCTTGAACTTGGTCCATCCGCTTCATTTGTTGTTGTTCAGCAATAAGAACCCTCCTCATCATATCGTTCCTTGTCTCAATTAACTTTTGCAATTCAATCTGCAAGGCAACTAGATTATCTTCAAGCTCACTTAAATATTTTGCCTTTCTGACAGTGCAATCTAAGAAACGGGAGAGAAAGGCATCACATGAGAATACTGTGATTGAGCAGACACCACCCATTTACAAATCGCTGAAAAACGGAAACTCAGGAGACTAACAGAAATAATGAAAGAAATCAGCTTAAGAATATGTCAATCAATAAGAAAACTAAAGTTTGGTTATGGAAATGAATCAAACGATTAACAGATACACTAAATTATGGGATTGAATGCATTGTCGCCTGACAAACAGACGAAAGCAAGAAGCTTGGTGTAACCAAAGCCATAAATGTAATGTACTGCAGTTATTCTAGAAAATATCAAACATCTAGCTATGGTTCTTGTTCCTTCCTTAGCTGGAGACAATAAAATAATATATCCATCTCCAAGCTAATAGAATGATCTTTTTATGCTTAGAATGATTCTAATTAAAATTCTTACAACAAACCCTATATGTTAGTGAAGATCCTATATTTATATGAACTAATTAATGGATTAAGAATGTTCTCTAATATTAAAGAAGAATCGAATAGCATGGTCTACTTGTATATAAATGAAGATTGGAATGCATAATACAATGCGTTATCTATATCTAGTTCCTCGTGATTCTGGAGGTAGTGACAATTTCATCCTTAAAACTAAGATAGAAGGGCACAGCTGCAAAATTCTGGAAATTAAACCTTTCAAGTCATTATCAAATATTAGAAATAGGAAAAAGACAACCCGTGGTCCTCCGTGAAAGCCACCATCACCACCGTACATCAACATCAGAAAACCCAAATACTAAACTAACTTTGACCACTAGCGCATTTTCACAAACAACTTCTGCGCATGAACTCAAACTCATCCATACAATTCGTTTTATGAAAATTGCAATTTTCACTCTTCATTGAAGTCTCCTCTAAATAACGACAAGTCAACACCCATTACCACAAAAGCAAGACAATCCCCCGCCAGCAGCCTTCCACATCCTCACCCCCACGCTGCCACGCATCACCAACCCGACTTCTCAAAGACTCCTCCGTTGGGCCATATTTTATTGGGCTTACTAAGGAACCTACCTTTGTTAAGGTTACTTTAGTAAACTTCCAAATGGGCCAAACCCAAGTTAAAGCCCAATTTACACAATTAATAAATGGGCCTTCTTGCTTTTGGGCCCAACAATATTGTTGATTAAATTTAAGATACGTTTGATTTGCATTTAAAATGGAATGATCTAAGTAACGTTCTTTAATATTAAAAAAGAATAACACTAACACTTCTCACTAACTTTCTCTCACTAACGCTACATGTCAATTTACAATTCGTCAGTTCACATAGGCCTCACCTATTCAATAATAGGTCCTGCCTAACCAAGCCAATCACAAACTCCCATATGGGGTTAGTGAGAGGGATTAGTGAGATTAGTATTATTGATTAAAAAATTGTTTGTGCCGTTACATTCAAAATTAGTTTTTGAATCTAAAGACATTCTCAAAATATATTTAGTAATGAATCTACAAATATACTTCTATACTTGGGCATAAATACCCACTTATCTTTGAAAGAAAAATGTTTATGTCGTTACATTCAAAATTAACTACCTTTGGATGACTGAGTGGTTCGATAGAGATTCTTAAGTGTATTACTCAAAAGACTCTGAGTCCGAGTCCCTCCTTGGTTACTTATAGAGATAACTATTGGAATTCTTACCCGACCAGTAATTCTAAGGTATCGGGGGATTAGTTAAAGTACGCATAAGCTCACCCAAACACCCCAATTCAACCAACAAAAAAAAAAAAAAAAAAAGTCCAAATTGGATATCAATCTCAAAACCTACCAAACCATTTCAATCTCAAAACCTACCAAACCATTTACATGAATACATCCCACCAACCTCAATATTCCTCAATGAATCAAACTTCAAATTAAACTTAATTCAAACTACTTGTCCACTAGTAACTCTATCCTTGTCTCTTCTAGAAAAATTTATATCTGTCTCCTAGGGTTTCTAGGTTGAGTTATGGGATGGTGACTCAACAAAGTGTGAAAATCTTTATCAAGAAAGATGAGCCTAGTCACTGCCTTTGGAGTACTTCTAAATATAGCTGTTTCAAAATACTACTTTTCTTATGTAAGTTTATATCCTTACTACCCAAAATACATTTTACTTTCTCATCAATGTTCTACAAGTTACCAGAACTAAGTGAAAGAAGTTTTATAGAATAAGGTCGGTAGATCAAATAATGATGACCGATTGAATATTCGCCGCCGTGATTAGCAAAATCAATTAAGAAAGAAAACTTTAGTTTTGCGATGATCGACATCTACTACGAGAAATCAAGTGTCAAGTGAAAGGTTTTGTAGACAGGAGACCGATGTTCAAATGGTGATGACAGAGAAAATTTTCAGAGCCAAATTAGCTTTGGGTGAGAAAGCGGTATTTTGAAACTTTGTGGGTGTGAAAGTGTCATTAAAGCAAACCTAGGTGGGAAAAAGTCGTTTACCTTCGTTCAATCATCCATTTTTTTAGTCTTTTAAGAGATTAAATGTAAAAGAATATAGAATTCTTTGCTTTGGTTAGAATGCAAGAAATCCATCACTTAGAATAACTAGGAACTCTCATAATGTTGGCAAACTTTTACATCAAATTGCATAGTATAAATTAAAACAAAAAATACAAACCAAAACAGAGAGTCTGTGAGATACATTAACACACGAGCACCCACAAAAAAAAAAAAAAAAAAAAAATCATCCTCAGAAAGACCTATTACTTCCACCAAAACCTCTCTCCATTAAGAAAAACTTTACATTCACTTCCATTTTCAGATCCCACTGGAAATCTCTGAAGCTTTGGACACTTCTTTATTCTAATTTCCTCCAAATCTTGATAAATGTCTACCAGCTTTCAGACATTTACACAGATATCAGTTGTGTGAAATGCAGGGAGATGAGTGTGCGATGCAAGTTCAAACACTTTGAGATTTTTCAACATTTAACTCCATTGGCATATTTTATGGCTTGCAGAAACGTTAAGATATTATAGAGACCAGTTTTGATATTTCTGAAGGGTAATCTCCATAAATGATTTCGGGACAGCTTAAAAACTCTAAGAGAGGGCATAAGATTGGAAGATGCATAGATTGGTAATTCAGTTTGCATCAAAGACAGTCTTTTGTGATCCCTCCCCAGTTTTTCAATATTTGGTCCTTCAATAATCCTGCTCTTGCATGAACCAAGAAGCACCCTTTTCTCCTTACCAATTTCGCATGCTATCACATGGCCATATCAGGAACCACAACATCATGCTTTTCACACAAATTATTGCTTTCTTTCAATAACATGCATGAAGAAAACCAATAATGTAGTTCTTTGGATTGATGTTAAAAGTTATTGCCGCCATGTACACATCCAAACAAAAAAAATAGGAAGCAAATAATTAACAACACTGAAAAAGAATCTTGTCTGACAGAATCTGCCTTTGTCACACAAAGCCAGGAAATATACAAACAAGAAATCTGAAATCCATAACTGGGTCAAGGAAGTCCACCTTGCTCGGTAGTTGAGTATGGTGAGCGACGTTGACACAAACCATCCTGTTTTGAGCTCGCCATGAGTTCCACAAGCTATCATACTGACAACCTACTATTGTGATCTCAAAGACACAAAAAATATACAAAATCAAGGAAAGAAATAAAAAATTCAAATGAAAAACACAAGAAAATGAGATAAATTAAACAGAAGAGGACCAACCAGAATTAACTGCTTCAGCAAACTTAGGTTCAGATTTTTAATGGCTTTGTCCTCCAGCTGCAGCAATTTCCCGTCCCTGTTCTCTCTTTAACAAATTTTACAATCCCTCATGCTTTCGGATATAATGCAAGCTTCTTAAGCTTTGGGCAATTACTTATTCTAGCTTCCTTCAAATCTTGGAAGAACAAGGTCTTCTGACAATATTTCTCAAATTTCTGAGATCTTCTAAAGTAAGATATTGTAATTTTGCAAATGGGTTTAGATTTCTGGACACCAACCTTCAACTGCAACAATTTTGCAACACTGATTGTTTCTTCAACCCCTGGCAGCTTGATATGTGAATGATCTCGAGTTTTGGAGCAAAATAACCACGTCAAATCCCTGATTTAAAACAAGACTCTATATGAATCATACGAAGTGTGTGAAAGCCATGATTCTGACGATAACTTGTGCTTGCTCGCATTGTTAATGGCCAACTCTTCCAATGAGCACAGCTGTAAATATTAAGAGCACCCAGATGCTTCATTTCTGCTAAAGATAAAACATTAAGTGCTTCTGAATTGTCAAAGTCTTCGAGGCTGAGAGATTGAGTGCAACATTGTAGCTTCTCAAGTCCAAAAATCTTCGGAGAGCACAAAAACTTTCAGGGTAATACTCAGACATTTAATTTCCAGGTAGCGCAATTCCTCCACCAAAATTCGGCAGTTTGACCCAAGTAACCACAAGAGAACATCCTCAATACATGTACCCTCGGAAAATTTGATATCAGATTCTGTGGAATTCTATTCAGAAAAGTGTGTACTCCAAGTTCAACATTTAAGATTTTCAAGGCCTTCAATTCTATGGCAATAATTTTATGTTGTCCCTGATACATCAAGACACTGAAGTGAAACTATGTGAATTCCTGTTGGTAGTGACCACAAATAACAGTTATGAATAGGTTTAAAACTCGAGTGAGGCATAAATTCGAAAAACATTTCTGATGCGTGCCTAACTTATTTCTGTTGAGAATAGGTTTGGAGTTGAGGGCATCTAGGCATTAGATAGATGCGAAATTTTTTTTTCCATCAATGATAACCTTTTTATCCCTTCCCATTCAATAGGTTTTTGCTTCAGTTAACCCCTCACCTGCATGAACCAAGAAGTTCTCCTTCTCCTTCTCGATGTCACATGCTATCCATAAAGCCATATCACGAATCACATCAT